AATTGAAGGAGAGAGGAAAAAATCATGTTCTATTTGCTGCAATGTCGTATCATATGCCTTAGTGAGATCAGCTGATATCTTTGTCTAGAACAATGGACCTTACCGAATATAAAACAACATCCGGCGAAGAAAGTAGGTCATCAGAAGAAAATGCAATTAATTCAAACTCATAGCTTCAGTGCCGTGTCGGTTACACCCAGATTTGTCACAATTTTTAGAGCCAAAATTTAACCGCGACTTTCATACGACACATATGGACTAATACTGATAGGACTACTGTGAATAAATAGCTTCATTAACACTTTGCCTTCTAGCATCATTAGTGAAAGATCATTGCAGATGTTGAAATTTGATACAATCGTTGGTAGGGTCGAAGATTTAAACCTCGAGTGGTTTATTAGAGAATTTGTAAGGTCGAAGACCTAAACCTCGAGTGGTTTATTAGAGAATTGTATAATTCCCTTTTGACGGTAACATGGCGACCTGCACGCTTTCCTTGCAGAGAATTGGGAGAAACCGAAGAAGATTTGGCAAATGTTTTATTTACTTCCTGTAAAAATACGCGACAGAATATTGGATTGTGGCCAAGCTCTTGGTCTGCATTTGCCACTTTCCGACGATTGGGACTAGAAAGTTCATAAACAAACTCTATAAGAAAGTAAAACTACGAAAATAATACGGAATTAGTAACTAAACTAATGAATAAGATAATAATCCAGAAACATTTACATTGCATGCCTTTGCCTGTCCTGTGTTATCAAACACATATACAACTCCACTCTTGATAAATGGACCAAACTTTTCTCCAGTTTTCATACATATATATTTCTAAATTTTCTTCAACAAATATAAAACAATAGCTGTCACATACAGAATGAATGGACCGTGGTGGGTATGGAAATATCATCCAAGAGGAAAAAGCATATTTCGCAACCAGGGAAGAGATAGAAGACATATTGGAGCCGAAATGTATTTAAACCTAGTCACTGACCGCTAATGGAGATATATGCTACCTAGAAACATTAAGATTAGAACATACAAAACTATAATATATTACCTAACCTAGTGGTTAGCATACCTGCTTCGTTCTTGGAAGGCTTCAGGTTGAAATGTCACCCTGGGAGCAAGCTGTCATTAGAGAGGATTTTTGTTAATTTTTCCTCATTACCTCCATACAAATACCGGGATAAACGTTAAATTAAGACACATCCGCTTTGTTCCTTATCCTTTCCAATTAATCATTCATTAATAGTTCGGTCTGATACAACACGTCTGAGCTATTCAGAGTCGTTTAATAACCCACATATAAACAAACATATGTATACGGGGGGGGGAAGCAGCTCGTATGGAATAGATGAAAATAATACACAATTTTAGTGGGAAAAACTAAAGCGAGAAGTTTATTTTGATGGTAACAAGCGTAAACGGGAATATGGTGTAAAAGTGAATTGCATAGTGTTGTGGGTTGTGGGTTGGATTAAACTGGCTCAAATTAGGGTCAGGTGGCTGGCTGTTATGAACACGGTCATGAACCCTTGGGTTCCATAGAACAAGAGGAATTGCTTGGCCAACTAAGCGACAATCAGCTTCTCAAGAAGGGCTCTGTTCTAGAATTAGTGACTTGTGTGTTTATATGGAACACGATTTAAGATTCTCAACGAAAGTAAATAATAAATATATTAAAAGTTAATTCGAAATTTGACGTGAAGCTAACAGCTGCCGTGTACGTAGTTTTGTTCTTCCGAAACATCGGTAACCTACAAGACCACACAGCGTCAGAGCCCTGGAGGCTATAACCATAGATTATACCGTCGTTAAACAACAAATTCCACACTTCATTTGTTGCTATTGTAATTTAAAATGTTGACCTGTTGTCCAGAATGCCCAGTGTATGTCGTGATATATGAAGGAAAGTTGACAAAGGCGATGAAATTCTCGTTATACAACTGACCATGCGTACTCTTGTACAAAGATGCGGAAGGTCTTTGGTCCGGACATGTTTCACGCAGGTCAACTGGACAGAACACGAAGGACGCAAATGGTCGCAGATTTCTTCTTCCTTCTCACCCTGTCGCGTGGGTGACATCAGCTGGAAGGAAATAAATGAGCAGACAGCACCAGTCAATGTGAAAGGACACGTTCTCTTTACAAAATGGCGTTGTACAAAGTTTTCAGCTAAGGGCCATTCACAGTCAGTGGATTTCAAAATTGGAAAATCAGTGTTTGCACATAAACCTTGAAAGCGAATAATAATAGATTATTGGCATTAACATTTATTAAGTCTGTTGGTTAGTTTATAATCTTTTATCTGTATTTACAGGATCCGGTAGAAATACTTTACGGTTTTAAATAATTAGTTACCAGATCTGACGAACCTAATTTGACTGGCTTCATTTTCATGAAATAAGAGTAATAAGAATTTAAAGGAAATATCTGTTCATGTATTATTCAGATCCAACTTCAAAAGTAAGTTAACTATATCACCCCAGATGTATCGTAATTGCGAAAACCATCTGATATTTCTGACGGATCCTGTGTTTATATTCCTTTTAACATTTTTATTCTCTATTTTCATTTAACTGCTATCTCTCATCTTTGTTTATGATTTATTTCTGATCCTCTCCATTCTCTTTGTTTGTTTAAATATAATCAAATTTTCTGCAGTTTATCATCATCTTAATTTCTCGTTATCTTTCTAATTTCAGTTTCTGGCTTAATGCTTGTGAATCTTTTGTCTATAATTTCCTTTCTCCAGCTTCTGGTTTCCTTACTTTTTGCACATAGAACACATCCCTTGTTAAATATTTCCCCTAATCTCCAAATGCCCATTTTCCACCATTTCTGACTTTCTGGGTACATATTTCTATTTGTATTTTTTTCTAAAGTTAATTAATTTATTGTAAAATACCAGTAATATTTTCTGTCTCATACGTTCTTCCATGTTCAGTTACCGTGTTTTCTCGATTTTAATACGTCATCGATTGCAAGACGCACTCTCGATTTAGTAATAGTTTTTTTCAGGAAAAGGAACGCTATATCGATTCTTAGAAGCCACCAAATTTAAGACGCAACCCGATTTCAGAAATTTTAAAATGTACAAAAGTACGCCTTAAAATCTGCGAAGTGCTGTAATAATTGTAATAACAAAAACAGTTGATAAGCTTAAGTTATGTCAGTGCTTTTAGAACGGCGATACTAGGACGCAAAAATGGCTTAGGTAATCATCTGCATATTTATACCACAT